AATGTTTTCATAAAAAAATTCTTCTCTGTGTAAAAAAAATTATTCGATGCTCCCATACGTATTTTGCTACCGGCAAATGTCTGTTTTATATAAAACGGGGGATAGCAGTTTGTCGTTTCGGCTATTAAATGATCACAAACAAAAATTCATTCTTAAATGAAATAATAATAATGATATGACAGCAATCTTGTAATTTAGGGACAAAATATTTCTTGATAAACGTCCGTCTATAAAAGATATTTTTATCCTGAAAAGGCAGTCTTCTATGAATGATGCGCCTGTTGAGCCAAATAGTTCGTTGTTGTTGGGAGCAGAGCAATTATTCATGTTTGAGACTTTCAAATTCGAACCAAACAATTATTTTTTTGGTAATTTTCAACTAACGATGTTGCTGGCCCAAACAAGACTTCACAGCAAAAACAAATGTCTGAATTTCACACACCATTTGTAGACATTTTCCAGACACTAAAACACGTTTGAATAAAATGAAAATTTGTCTGAATTTCAAATATGAATTAAGATGTTTGGGCACCTGTTCGTCTCGACTTCAGACACATTTTCATTTTATTCAGACGTTTTTCAATGTCTGAAAAATGTCTACAAAAGGTGTGTGAAATTCAGACATTCGTTTTTGCTGTGCTGTTTGAGAACTTGTTCGTTTTCCTCTCAGTATAGATGTTTTCAAGTTATAAATTACAGGTTGACTGAGTATAGATAGCCCGGGGATAATACAGAATATGAATTTACCGGTAGAAATAATTTCTTTCTTTGTAATTTTTTTTTTCAATTGTAAATTCACACTCACAACATTGGAAAATCACGCGCATCCGGATAATCCATCCTTTCTCACTGTAAATTAGCCCAGGAACTGGGTTATTTCATCCCCTAGCCAGAGAAGGACGAAATGCCCTTGGATTGATTGATTTTCCCTCCCCGTTGTTTTCGCATACAGGGGAACCCCCATTTCGATCGGTTTTCCCAATATTCCAAGAATAAGAGTGACTCCCAACACGATCTTACGTAACGGTGGCTCACGTGTATGATCCACGCATATCAAATCGGCGAAAAATCAGGGGTATCGCGTTCCAGGGGATTCAAGCTAGATCGAATTTCTCGAGTGTCGCCTCAAGCCCCGCTTCTCGGACACCATTCCTACGAGTTTTGATGCTTGAGTTCACATTGTTGTCATCATCCTCACTGACCGCGGCGCACATCCAACGTAGTGCTGCGATGGAAGGGATGTGGCGATACAGAATGTATGTTTTATGTACCCACGCTTCCTCGAGAGTATATATTAATCTCAGAGAAGGCAACGCGTCGTTTATCTTTAATTGCTGTTGATTGGCTAACCGTAAATTTTTTTTTAATTTGACTTTTTCGATTGAATTGTCTAAAAAGTTATGGTAATTTTAAAACCACATATTTCCCGAAATTCATAAAGAATTTATCATTTTTGAAGAATTTTTGTTTTTTGTCGTTTATCTTTAATTGCCATTGATTGGGTAACGGTAAATTTTTTTTTAAATTTGACTTTTTCGATTGAATTGTCCAAAAAATTATGGTAATTTTAAAACAACATATTTTCCGAAATTCATAAAGAATTTATCATTTTTGAAGAATTTTTGTTTTTTGTCGTCTATCTTTCATTGCCATTGATTGGTTAACCGGAAAATTTATTTTTAATTTGACTTTTTTGATTGAATTGTCTAAAAAATTATGGTAGTTTTAAAACAACATATTCCCCGAAATTCCTAAAGAATTCATCATTTTTAAAGAATTTTTGTTTTTTGTCGTCTATCTTTAATTGCCATTGATTGGTTAACCGGAAATTTTTTTTTTAATTTGACTTTTTTGATTGAATTGTCTAAAAAATTATGGTAATTTTAAAACAACATATTTCCCGAAATTCCTAAAGAATTTATCATTTTTGAAGAATTTTTGTTTTTGCCGTCTATCTTTAATTGCCATTGATTGGCTAACCGTAAATTTTTTTTAAATTTGACTTTTTCGATTGAATTGTCTAAAAAATTATGGTAATTTTAAAACAACATATTTCCCGAAATTCATAAAGAATTTATCATTTTTGAAGAATTTTTGTTTTTTGTCGTTTATCTTTCATTGCCATTGATTGGCTAACCGGAAAATTTATTTTTAATTTGACTTTTTTGATTGAATTGTCTAAAAAATTATGGTAGTTTTAAAACAACATATTCCCCGAAATTCCTAAAGAATTCATCATTTTTAAAGAATTTTTGTTTTTTGTCGTCTATCTTTAATTGCCATTGATTGGTTAACCGGAATTTTTTTTTTTAATTTGACTTTTTTGATTGAATTGTCTAAAAAATTATGGTAATTTTAAAACAACATATTTCCCGAAATTCCTAAAGAATTTATCATTTTTGAAGAATTTTTGTTTTTTGTCGTTTTGTCTTTCATTGCCATTGATTGGCTAACCGGAAAATTTATTTTTAATTTCACTTTTTTGATTGAATTGTCTAAAAAATTATGGTAGTTTTAAAACAACATAATCCCCGAAATTCCTAAGAAGAACAAATTATGTCCAACAGATGAATTATTTTTACTCGCGTCAAATGAAATTGGCCGTTACGCGAAGTTGCCGGAAACTTGCTAAACGCGCCTGGGCGTGTGGAGGGGGTTTGGCAACGCGGAGGTGACCAAATCGCTAGGTCACATATGGCGACTAGTTTAGAATTAAAAACAAGACTAACACACTGTTGGAAATTTTTTGTAATTTGATGGAAAATATGGTAGGAATTCTCATGAGAGTGACATTGAATCCGATTTAAGGGAAAACTGGTTATGAAATTTCGAGTTTCAGGTAGAATTGTTCACAATTTGATTGAATTTTCAGTGGAACATGAATATTCAGAAACAAAATGACATGAATTTTCAATTTTTCCCGGAATTTTCCTGACGTTTCTGAATTTTCATAGAATAATTGAACTGAAAAATTGAGTTTTCTATTAATTTCCAGATCATTTGAACAGAAAATCAATGGAATATTCAATTTTTCAATGACAAGATTTCCTGAAATTTCAGTGAAACTGAAACACAATAAAAATTTCCGGAATTTGGGACGGAAAATTCAGACGAAAATTTTTAACAGTGTATGAAAAGAAGCGTCGACGATTCAAAGTAGATCGAATGTCTCGAGTTTCGCCTCAAGCCCTAATTCTCGGACACCATTCCTACGAGTCCAATCCTCACTGACCGCGTGGCATATCCAACGTATTATTTCGATGGAAGGGATGTAATGTTACATAATGTAAGTTTTATGTACCCAGTGTCTGTGTATTTCACGAGAGCATATTGTATATTAACGCGTCGCATATCTTTAACTGCCATTGACTGGCTAAACAGAAAAATTAAAGAAAGTTTTACATTTTCAATTGAAGCATCTAAAAAATTACAGTAGTTTTAAAACGATACCATCCCGGAATTCCTAAAGAGAACAAATTATGTCCAACAGATGAATTATTTTTTCCCGCGTTAAATGAACTCGCCCGTTCCGCGACGTTGCCGGAAACTCGCGAAACGCGCCCGGGCGTGCAGAGGGGATTTGGCAACGCGGAGGTGACCCTAGTCGTCGGCTCACACTGATAGACGAATTCATTTATTCCAAACGAGATTCGTTAACTAGGGGAGGATAGGGCAAAACGGACCCCTAGGGCAAAACGAACCACTGACAGAAAATTGGTAATTTTTTTTTCTTCCTTTCAAATCAGGAAAACTGAATGTGTTGAATTAAAAGTGAGTTTCTTGGATCGTAACCGTCACAGGGGTTTTATAGACAACAAGTGTCGTTAAACCGCAATTTGAGCAGATTTGCTAATCACCTCAAACCACAAATGACTCTGAATTTGCTCCACTCGGAAGGAAGAGCAAAAATCAATTTTCTGTCAGTGGTCCGTTTTGCCCTACCCACCCCTATTAACGAATGGTAGAGTTGAATATTACCAAATTCATTAATAGTTAACGAATGGTTCACTTGAAAGGTGAAAGTCGAGTCAAACAAGGCTCCTCAAATATGCATTTGTTAACTATTAACGAATGAACATTTGGTGAGACCAAATAGACCCTCGCCTCCAGCCAAATCCATTCGTTAACAATAACTAATCCTTTCTATCAGACCAGATCATAGTTAAAAACAAGATTAACAGTGAGTTATCCAAAAGACTACTGCACTTATACATGAAAAAGCACGTCGATGACTCAAGCTAGATCTAATTCAACAGCAAAACAGTAAAACGGTTTAAGTCGTCTGCAAAATAAGGGGGATTGCAGCATTTTTCTCATGACCTTTGTTGTAGCCCTCAATGCGTTCTGAAAAAGGTCATGCCAAAAATTTCGTTACCTCCCTCAGATTAGGAGATACTTCTCAAAAAGGCAGCTAAGGGCTAAGTCGACTTAAACCGTTGTACCGCTTCAGCCCCGATTTTCGGAGACGATTCCTACGAGTTTAATGCCCAAGTTCACCCTGTTGCCATCATCCTCACTGACCGCGTCGCAAATCCAACGCAGTATTTCGATGGAAGGGATGTAACGATACATAATGTATGTTTTATGCACCCAGTGCCTGTAGGATTGAATCACGCTTCCTCGAGAGCATATATATTAAAAACAAGACTAACAGTGGGTTATCCAAAGGACGGCTGTACCTATGTATGAAAAGAGGCGTCGATGGTGAATCGCGATAACATTGACGCTGTTTTCGTTACAGCGAAGCGTGTTAAATACTTGGCACATGCCAAAGAAAAAGGATCTGAAGAAGTTGGCGGGGGTAATCGACCCGGGGAGTCATAAATCTTTGACGATTTCCTTCGGGGATAGAGAAGGGCAAACTAGTCTAGCCGTGAATGAGACGTGTTTGGACATTTTTTTGCCAGATAGTCTATGGTAATTGAGGTGGTATCCATCTTTGCAGAAAGATGGCTTCTGTGAATGCAGGATCTTTCAATGGAATAGGTGAATGTACTTACTGTGAGCATAGTGGGCTGCTGCTGCTGGGTGATGAGGGGCTGGTCCAGCGTGGGGATAGTAGCCTCGGTAGTCGGGATTTACCCCCGTTACACCACCACTACCACCACCTGACGATGGCTCGAGGCTTCTCGGTGGCTCGTACCACCGCGCCGCGCTCGATTCGCTGCTCATGTCCATTGTGTCCAGAATTTTTTCTGCCTTTCACTTTGCGCTTTGACGCGCCGCTTTGTTTTTATTGAAATTTCGGGGATATATTCACGAGTACGTGAGACTAGAGAAGAGTAGAGCAGACTTTTCGGGTGCCTCTCGACGAACGCTCGACTGAATCAGGACGGTGTGGTGGAGGATTGTTTTTGGGGGAGGGGGGAGGCTAGTTGCAGTGAAAATTATTGATTAGAGAGAGCGAATCCGGGGGGATTGATTCTCTGTGGTCCGCGGAAGTACTCGCAGTGGTATCTGAAATCATAAGAAGGGGCACATTAATGGGATTGATTTATTGAGTCATCGATGTTTATGCTGTTAGGAAATTCCTCCTGAAATTTCAGGCAAATCACTGAAAATTCATAATTTCATGAAAAAATCCGTGAGAAATGTAAATTTCAGTTCAAATTGTTTGCGAGATATTAATGAAAAATCAGGAAAATTCTGAGATATCTCTCCTTGAATTCTAGATGCCTCTAACTTTTCGGGGAATTCCGTCAAAATTCCTGCAATTCCGAGAATTTTAAACAAATTCCCTGAAAACTCAAGTAAATTCTAAAATTTCCGTCTTCCTACCGCTAAAAAAATGGGACTTTTAGTTGAATTTTGTGAGAAACTTGAAATTTCGTCGACTTTTCCCCCTTAAATCGAATTCAAGATATTTTTTTGGAAAATTAAGTCAAATTTTTTCAACAGTGCGTATTTTATTATTGGAAAATCAGTTGAATTCTCTAGTATTCAATGAAATTGCAATTCCCACGTTCACATGATAATAAAAATTATTAAATAATTTGAAAATTCGGGCAACAATTTCCCTGAAATTTCAATCCACTAAAAATTCTGTTAGATGTGATGTTCAATGTCCGCAATTAATTTGAAAAATCTAGATGTCATTGAAATATCAGTGATAATCTACCATCGAAAAGCCAATTATCCTGAATTTGATTTTAAACTGAATTCAAATTCAGAACGTTGAGAATTCAGATGCAACAAATGCGTAATTTTCCAAAAAATTCTAACAGTATACTTCTATTTATATTTGAAAAATCCAATATTATTCTATGTCTACAAAAAAAACAATTATTAATATCGCAAAAAATTGAACTGTGAACACAAACTCGAAAAAAACCTCCCATTGATTGATAACCTGACCCGCAGAAGGACTTTGAAACCTGGACGGCTGCTTTTTAAATTCCGAGATAACGTAAATCAAACATTCAGGAGCTATAATTCGTTCCAGGTATTTCTAACGAGGTCTGAGCAATTTCTAAAAACGTCGCGATTTTCGTCCGCAGAGAAAGTCAAAGTGATTGATGAAATGAATCACAAACACGCGTGAAAATACTCGAAGATAGGGCAAGGTGAAAATAATATAGCGCCCACTTATCAATTCCAACGTCCCAATTGATAGCAAGAAATTTCGACATGAGCGGTGATGCAGAACAATGAAGAACGATCGGTTGTAGTGAAATACAATCCGGTCATCCCCGTGAGATTCTCTTAATTGGGCGCTTCATCTCTGAGTGAATATCGGTGAATATGCATGTGCAATATTCACCGATTGATCAAGCAAGGACATCGGGGCCGAAAGATGCGTCAATCGATCGCTCCAGGAACATCGAATCAGATCAAATACGAAAGTGTTAATTCGGGAGTGAATTATTGACGAAGCCCAAACGATTTCGCGGATAATCATCGATATCCGAACATTCCCAATCCACAATTACTCTGAATGCTGTACTTACATATTACCGTATACCAACAACAATGCGTGTTGTCTTTGCACTTGATCTCTCACCTGTGAGAAAAAAAATCGTCTCAACTCCGGTGTCTTTCGATCAACGGCAAATAAAATACTCGAAAACAATAGCAGATAAGATATATCCCAAAATGTGGGCATCGATAAGATTAGGGCTTAAAGAACACGGGGGACAGAGTTAATCGAAAGCGATAAGAAAATTTATACCTGTTCCATTTTAAATTCAACGAGAGTCCGAAAATACTGATGGGTACAACCTCTACGATGCGCGTCAATCAATCATTTCAATTAATTTATTTTCAAGATTAACCTGATGATCAATAATCATCGGCTGCATCCATTGTCAAATACGCGCTGCTAAATATAAGAGGTTAATTATGTTTGGAGTGGAAAAAAGGCCGCGAGAAACTGAACTCTTCGTCTCTGTGATAACAAATAGATCAATCAATTCATATCGAGAACGATCGCAGGAAGAAATGTCTTTGACGAACGCTTTTCGTGAATAATTCATGTGAACAATTATATGAATTAAAGTTCATTCGGCTGCTAAGTAGGTATCTTAGCGATTAAATAACCCGTAGTTTTTGAGAAGCATTCAACAGATAACGGAATTTAAATTGTATGTAATTTAATCGTAACCTTTTTCACCTGGAATTTTTCACTTACGTATCACCGGAGGAGACAATTTGAGGAGAGATAGTGATTGTTGTGGGTATCTTGATGAAGTTCAGCCGGTTAAAACACGAAATTTACGAAGTTGAAGTTGATGTAAGATTCTCGTGTAACGATATGGGATAACTGATCTAGTGACCACGACGAAGGTAGATTCAGCACTGATTTTGGGGGCATTGGTGATAGGAGACCATTGACATTGAGTGGTTTGTCAAGAGAGACAACATGATAATGCTCCAAAACGAGAAATAATTGTGATAAGTTGGGGCTGATAAGGGATATACGCGGGAAGAAATATTTTATGAAATGAAAGGCTAACTTTCCAAGCCCTGTCTTTCCGGATTCGATTGTGTAAAATATATCTGTCATTTGCTCATGTAAATTTTTTGTAAAAATCAGTCTCGTGATAAATTAGCAATTCATGATAAAGTATCTGTTTGGGTTATTTACGGTGACTTTGTTCTCATATTGTCCGACATAAACGTTTAAACCGCATTGAAATTCGCTGATACTATTCTAGCCACTACCCATGAAAATGTCATCATATTCGCAAATATGGAAATCTCTATCTCAGTAAACACTACGTCTCTTTCTCAGCGTATCGGGAAATCTATGAGTTAATCCTGAAATAAAGACCATTCTGACTGCTGTAATATGGGAAAATTAAACTTTCGCGATTTAAAATCAATAATTATGGAGATGAAGGACGACTAGTTGCACAAACAAAAATTTATGTTGAAAATAATGTAAAATTATTCTAATGCTTGAGGAATTTTTTCAACTGAATTCTAGTAGAAAATAAAATACCTCCATTTTTGTGGGGACAATATATTGTATTGTACACTATACTTGCTCATTTTTACTGGAAATTTCGGTGGAAATTCCTCCAAGACAGAAGAATAATGATGTTCGCAGATATGGAAATCTGTATGTATCGGGGAAATCTATGATTTAATCCTGAAATAAAGCGTAACATGGAAAAATGAAAGTTTTATGATTTAAATTCAATAATTATGGAGAAGAATGACGATTAGTTGCACAGACAAAAATTTATGTTGAAAATACTGTAAAATTATTCTACTAATGTATGAAGAATTTTTTGAACTGAATTCTAGTAGAAAATGAAATACCTCCATTTTTGTGAGGACAATATATTGTACTTCTCACAAGGCTTGCTCGTGTTTTTTACTGGAATTTTGGTGGAAATTCCTCCAAGACAGAAGAATAATGATGTTCGCAAATATGGAAATCTGTATGTGTCGGGAAATCTGTGAGTTAATCCTGAAATAAAGCCCATTCTGACTGTCGTAAGATGAAAAAAAAAGGTTTGTAATTTAAATTCAATAATTATGGAGAAAAATGACGACTAGTTCCACAGACAAAAATTTATGTTGAAAATAATGTGAAATTATTCTAATGTTTGAGGAATTTTATCAATTGAAGTCTAATAGAAAATAAAATATCTCCACTTTTGCAACTATAAAATTCACTAAATTTGCTCATTTTCTTACAGCAATTTCGGTGAAAATTCCTCCAAGACAAAGGAACCAAATGGATGAACAATAATAATTCAGTAGCGAAGCGATAAACCGGGTTAAGTCGATTTTTACTATTGGCTAGTTTTTGACGAATATCTCGGAATCTAAAAGAGATAGAAAGATTTTTGTCATGACCTTTTTTGTAGAGCCAATAGAGCGTTATAAAAAAAGTCATGAGAAAAATTTTGCTATCTCTCTTAGATTCCGAGATATTCAGCAAAAACTGGCTAATAGTCAAAATCGACTTAACTCGGTTTACCGCTTCACTACTGAATTATAAATAAAAACAATAAAATCATTGAATAAACTAATGAATTTCAATATGAATTCATCTCCATGTATTTTCCCTATTTATCTAAGCCTGTTATTCATAATGAGTCGAATAAATACACCTCAATTTCACGACTTTAGTGATAAAGAATAAAGAATAAAAATGTCCGTGGTCATTCGAACCGAAGCCTTTCGATTTCCGTCCACTGCACAATCTTATCTTATTTCGGGTAATCTGGGAATGTTACACGGAACAAAGTCAAACTGTCATGTAGCTGATAGGCCTGATGAAGTCACCTTTGAGTTCCCTCTCCTCGTAAATTCAAAAGACCATTATCGAAGAATGAATTCAAGTTTTATGCGATGTTGAAACAATTTCGATCGGACGAATTTCTAATCCAAAAAGTTGAGGCCCCGAGTGGACGGCGTGGGATGCCCCAGGCGTCTGCCCTCCCCGCCTTATGCTGAAGTCAACACGCCTGTCTGTAACTACATCATATACAACATTCGGTCGCATGATAATATATTACTGAAGTTATGATGTGATCTGTGCGTGTATCCCCGTGTAATGATACATATACCCAAACTTTCTCATGGATGTTACGGTGACTGGTGAGTTTTGTTGAACCTGATCGGCGCCCGACGGTGCGGAGACCCCGACATATTCACTATTTCTATTCGGAATTTGTAGACGAGAGAAATTCTTTCGAAAAAATCTAGCGCTGGTGCTGGAAAAAAATCCCAATCCACCGGCTATGAAAAATTCTAGTGCTGTTAAGGTTATTCAAGTATCTTTTACAGTTTAGTATGGACCACACTATAGATTGAAGCATTTTGAATCATCAAATTTGTCAATTAAATTGCGTGAGAAAAATTGCCCTCATTCAAATTATATTTTTCACCGAATTGATATTTTTTAAACATTCGTTGCTGATGAATAAATAATTGAAATTGTTTAAATGTTCAGAAACCTGATGTTTTGAGCATGAAATCGGTTTCTGGTAAAATTCTGAATG